AACTGCCATTAGAAAATTATTATTTGTTTTTAATTTCATCTTGGGAATTCCTTACAAACAGAAGAATTTGACATCTGCTCTGAAATATTTAGTCATTGTTTCTATAGATATATAAGTAACATTTATCTAATTTCTACAGACACACATGGGAACTTTTTGCACTTATTTTTTTATTAATTAAACCTTGCCAAAATAGTCAGTTCTTAGAAAATTGGATTATTATGAGTGCTGGGGCACAAATTCTTGGGCACTCCAAGCTGTTCTAACAAGCACACAATTCACTTCCAGATTTTAATTCCTGGAATTTACACACAAACCCAAATGTTTTGCTCTGGAAACAGGCATATCCATAGTTTCAAGGGGTTGGCACTGGCACACAAAATCCGCTTCCAAAGAGTGACTTCCAAGGAGATTATGTGATAATGGCACCTATTACATTAAAGTCTTTCAATGGTTCTACAAAAGGAAGGAGGCATTCAAAAAGAAGTATCTCAGCTGTAGAGCCTATGTGGTACCAGTGGCTGAGAAGAGAGACCGTGTGTGGCCTCGGGGGACAATCAAGGTACATAAACCTATACAGAGTAATGGAATATGCACACTCTGAAAGCAAAAGGAATGAGCAATGCAAAGATTAACAGAAGGATTGGTGTGAGCAAAGGCTTCTTTACCACTTGGAGATGAAAACTAAGGGTTCACCTATAGAAGAGGATAATTTTGGGAATAGTTCTGAAAAGGGTTGGAGCAACACAAGTAGCACCCAGTAAGTGTTCTGGGAGAGAATGACAGGCTTTTGAATGGTTGAGGGCAATGCTGATACTGATAGATCAATGGTGTGATTCAGTAGAAGGCATCTTCATGTGCTCAATTGAGGAATGAAGAGCAGAAGCATCAGGGGGACAGCTGGATGTTACGATGGAAGCATCAGTTAATTCATATTTGAAAGAGCCAACAGAATGAGTTATAAGGGACATGTAAAGATAGGAAACAAGTTAGAAAACAGTAGACAGATTGAGGAGGAAGAGAAATGGTTAGTAACAGACCTAGACGTTAAGAATTTTTATTGGCTCTCAGGCTGACAGGGAACTATGAGACATGGGAAACAGGCTCTGTGTCTTCAGTTGGGAGTCGCTGAGGGAAAGCTGGTTCCTTGTAAGTGTTAAGCAATTTCTGTGTCAATCTTGTCTTTATGAAGTCCATGGCAAGTATAACTGAAAACAGATTCCCCTTTATCTCAAGTTTAAATGCTTAATTTATAAATGTTTTACAAAATTTCCTTTACTTTTTGAGCATTTGTGTGTTTAGGTTTAACTCCTCCCATGTGTAGGCCAGAGACTGGAGGTTTACTAAGCAAAGCTTCTTCTATCCCCATTGAAGGTATCCCGCGAATGGGGAAAGCAGGAGGGTGTGCGTGTGTCAAAATGTGGCTTAGGTTTCCAGGGACCCTCCCTAGTAAGCCCCAGAGGCTTAAAGATATTCTGTATGGGTGTAATAGCAGAACAAGAACATCGACATATGACAAGTAATCCAAGTGATATCCATAGTAACAACCTCAGAAACACCTCCACAAGTTCTCTGTCCTCTCTGCAGTCCCCATCAGTTCTACTAGCAATAACCTTTGCTATCCACTGGCACAGGAAATAGAAAGTCCAGGTCCAGTATGGTAAGACTTGGCTCCTCCAACATACGCATGTAGCCTAGAGCTCTATGGTTAGATGTAATATTGTGGTTTATCAGGTAAGAAGCCTGACCTTGGATGTGCTACATTGAAGGAGTAAGCCCTTTCCGCTCTAGACCTTCTGATCTGTCTCAGTGACAGAACCAGTGCAATGAAAGGCCTAGATCCTGCTCAGCAC